ACGTTCGTTCAGCGTATTGGCGTTGATTCTTACCAAACACCGGACACTACTAAGCGAGGAAAATCTACGGAATATCTTGTTCATTCGTCTTAACCAGGAGCTTCTGCAGAAAGTGGATTTTAATAAGACCTAAAAAGAAAATGTGAATTTTATACTTGATTTCTTTAATTTTTAAGTTTTTTTTTTTATAAGAACTGTTTCTTTTTCTACTAAACATGAATAAATGAATTTTGCTTTCAAAAATGGCAAGCTTGAATAATATTCAATTGGATAACCCAGTTTCATTTATTTGCAAAACATAAGGGACAATCGGACATGGCCGAATCAACTTACCGTGTGGGACCGAAATCCGTACAACTTATGGAAAACATATGAGGTGTGTGGATTTAGATTCAGTACGGTACATAATTATATATCCAGCATAATTTTGGGAAAACACATCTATTTTCATGGTTCCAATACTAACAATCTGGAGCAACAATAGTACCGTTGTAAAACCATTTCTTCACAAAGCAAAAGCTGCCCACGCAAACCAACAGCATAATCGTTAAGGGGAAACTTTCCCCTACTCGATGATGCTGATAGTTTGCGTGGGTGGCATTCGATTTGTGAGGAAAGGGCTTTAGAACGGTTTGATTTAAAATGCTCTAATGTTGCTCCAACAATGTTGTTAATTATGAGCTTGTTAACAAAGACTTTCGATGACTCGTTGAAAGTTCGATGACGTATTCTGATGTAATGCCTTCAGATATCAAATGACTACCGCTATGATGGTGGCTTCTGGTGCACTTCAGAGATACAGGTTCTGAGTGAATCGTGCGTGGGGTTCTACAGTAATACGGACCTAAGGGCAGCAAATGCTTGTCATGAAGGCTTTTACCTCCAACTCTTTGGTATTAAAAGTACTTACGTAAGATTTTCTGATATTGCAAATCAAATCTGACCGCTCAATATGTGCCACATCACTCTTCATCCAACAAAGGACAGGAAAAGAGTTCCAGTGTTCTTCATGTCTTTAGAGTCTATGATTTCTGCAGAGAGGATTTCAAGTCTTCATAGTTTCTGAGCTGATGAAATTTAGGTCTGCTTTTGTTGAATTTTTGATGCAAAGTGTCAATGTGAAAAAAAACCCGCTAGCTAAGATCTAAATGGCTAGTGAGAGTATATTCTAGCTTGAACATATATTTCGCATTTCACACCAAACAAATAGGCGCGTTTTAACAAAGTGTGATAAAGGTGCGGTTTCCGTCTTGTGTCTTCAGAGCACTTATTAGATAAATGCACCTCTCCTACTAATATCACAAAGTTGAATGAGAGTAACCAATTTAAATTACTGTACAAAATGTAAATTTGTTGAGCAACCACAATTGTTCGGTTTGTTGCTTTTTTAGTTAGAATGCAATGCTTTATGTTCATTATTATGTGATTTACAAAAAATCAAGATAACGATTGGTTAGAACATTTTAAAATCTCAGACTAACGTTTTTAATAATCAAGAAAATCATTAAACTCGTCGGATATATTAAAGCTCCCTAAATAGAATAAAAAAATTATGATCTGAGAAATTAGGGAAAAAAAATCCAACTCTTCAATTGTATTGTGGCAGGTTGGTTAACGCATGGTGTAAAAATAGGGAAATCTGTTACTAAGCTGAATATTTCACAGTTTGTTTTCCTTTTTTCGATCTTTTAAAATTATTTTAATGATATTTTGAAATTAAATCGCACAAATAACCTTGCAAATAATAAACCAAAAGCTTCTATCGACGTGCAAAGAAGTAAACCCAAGAGTAAACCACACTATCCCAATCCAACTTTTTTTTTCTTCATCTTTCATGATGAGATATAAACAATATTTTTGCACACTTAGATTTTTTGCCAAAATGGGCCGAGCAGCTCGGCATTTTATTTTGCTGGATATCATTTATGTTAGTTAGCTGAATCTCGGCAAGTTTTTCACTGAGATCCAGTAATATAAAAAGCCGAGCTGCTCGGCCCATTTTTGCAAAAAATCTAAGTGTGCAAAAATATTGTTTATATCTCATCATGAAAGATGAAAAAAAAATTGGATTGGGATAGTGTGGTTTACTCTAAGTGCGTGTATGTAATTTTTTTTCAGGAATCTATCTAATCCTTATAAGGAAAAACTGATTCGCTTGGATTTCCAATATAAAAAAAATCAAAATGTGTCAGAAAAAAACAGTTTTTGGTGAAGTAAATTTGTCCATATGCGAAACCTACTGCCAAAAAATAAAATAAAATAAAATAAAAACAAAAAATTTTGCCGAATGTGGGCATATTAGTGGAATTCCTGTATAAAGAAAAAGAGAACCATAATAAACGGGTACCATACTTTACCGATATCATAAATAGTACGACCATACCAAATAAACTAGGGATGATATCCCGAATTGGTGTTTAGGCGCTTTTTATGGTTATTGTTTATGCGGGAAGGATTAGTAATTTTCATTTAATTCCACTACCTTATTTGCTTATCCTTGACAGATACGCGTATTTTGTCTACAATGTGCAGACTTCTGTCAAGGATAAGCAAATAAGATAGTGGTTTTAAATTGACATTACTAATCCTTCTATCTTTCTTAATAAAAATACACCGTACTGCGTAAACAATCAATCTTCCAGCACGAGAAAAGTACGCGAGACGAGCTCACGAGAAAATGCACACGAGCTGTTTCATGTACACGCAGCCCATGCTCCCCGCTCGACCCGGCAAGAGACGAGACATCGCTATGCACGTCGCAACAGAAACTCGCATGTATTGATACAAGGCTCGCTCATTTCCCTTGTGCCTCGTTCGTTTACTTCACACAGCTCACCATAACTGAGAGGGGTACGAAATTAGGTAGCGCAAAGCACACTGTCTCTTCTCTGTGCTCACGAGATTTCAGGAAGCCTGCTTTTAACATGCTATGTTGAAAAATTAGTTCAAAATATCAATGCAGTCAAGTTATTAACGAAAGAAAAAGTCGATGAAGAAAATCGATCAATGGTGATTGGCCTATTTGAAAAGTGACGCGAGGTTTCATTAATTCTAGATCAACAATAGAAAAGGGCCCATCAGCATTTGTAAACAAACCGTTCCAAAGCCCTTTACTCACAAAGTGAAGGCCACCCACGCAAACCAACACTATCATCGGAAACTTCTACTTACACGATGATGGTGTTGGTTTGTGTGGGCGGCCTTCGATTTGTGAGTAATGGGCTTTGGAACGGTTTGTTTATAAATGCTGATGGGCCCTTTTCTATTGTTGATCCAGAATTCCTGTTTGCATTGATCGATTCTCTTATACGCCCGCAAAAACGCGAACCATCACATGACCTTACCGATAATGGTTATAAATTGTTTATAATCCCTGCTAAACTTCAACTGAAATGGTTATGGAACTTTACATGAACGTTTGTGTGATAAAGTTTTAACCTTATATATTATGGTTTTTTGGAAGCGGACCTTACAAATAATGGGTTGTTAAGAACCATTACCATTCCAAATTCTTGTTTTCTCCATACATTTTCGGAAAGAGAACTATATTAGAACGTTTTTACTTATGGTTTGAGAACATTAATGGTTATGGTTATGGTAGTCAGTAAGGTCCATTAATGGTCAACTTTACGTGAAATATATCGTGAATTGGTAATCAGTAATTTACAGGCAACCAATTCGCGATATATTCCACATAAAGTTGATCGATGTTACAAAATCATTCATGGACCTTACTGGTTACCATAACCATTACCATTAATGTTCTCAAACCATAAGTTAAAAGGTTTTAGTATAGTTTTCTTTCCGGAAATGTATGGAGAAAACAAGAATTTTGAATGGTAATGGTTCTTAACAACCCATTATTTGTAAGGTCCACTTCCAAAAAACTATAATATTTAAGGTTAAAACTTTATCATTAAACGTTCATGTAAAGTTCCATAACCATTTCAGTTGAAGTTTAGCAGGGATTATAAACAATTTTAACCATTTTAGGTAAGGTCAATTTATGGTTCGCGCTTATGCGGGCGGCCGATTTCTTCACCTCCGCTTAAGCATTAAACCAGGTTTAATTATATGGGTAAACCTGGTTTAAGATTTAAGCGGAGTTGAAGACATCGGCTATAATAGTCAATTCGACAGTGACACTTTTTGTAATTTTGAGTTTAATTCGGCTCAGTTACTGAGCTAGTCTCATTGGCCGTGTTCTGTTAGTTGTAATTCAAGCCGAACAATGCATTAGGTCCATACCATTGATCGATTCTCTTAATCGACTTTCTCTTGTATCGAACAGTGTTAAAAAAAATAGCTTGAAATATACATGGCCATGGAGATGCAAACAGAAAATCGACGAAGAGAATCTGTCAATGTTATTTAAGACCTAATCTATTATTCGGCACGTTTTTTTTTTATTTATTTCTATGGAATAATATTTTGATCAAATGCAGCTCTCATATTTCTACTTGTGTTAAACAATGACAATATTGTTAAATTGTGTTGATAAACCCTGGTGTATACTCAATATTAACAGGGCAGAGGTATGTTAATATTATGTAAATAATGTTCTGAATTTTGCCAGGAGATCAACATCGATACCGTTCTATCAAAAACTAATAAAGGTCAGGAGTTGATGGAAGCTTTGAAGGAAAACCGCAATCTTGATGACAAGATGATTAAAAAGATAACCCACCTGCTATGTGATTTCCTAACATCGATTTACGGAGTGTACACACTTAGATTTTTTTGCCGAGATGGGCACCACCGAGCAGCTCGGCATTTTATTTTGCTGGAAATTCAGCAAAAAATATGTTTGTTAGCTGAGATCTCGGCAAAATTCCCGTTTGTTAGCTGAATCTCGGGAAGTTTTTCACTGAGATCCAGCAAAATAAAATGCCGAGCTGCTCGGTGGTGCCCATCTCGGCGAAAAAATCTAAGTGTGTAGGTTTTGAAATAGTTCGAAAATAAGTTTGAATCCTTTTTCATATTCTACTTTTGTATTTCAGCCGTGCTACCACATACCACAAAAACCTTTTGGCCAAATCTCTAGTGCAGTCGTATCCGATGTTGGCATCAAAAGTTTCCGATATTCCTCAAGTACGAATTTAACCTGTACCAAAAACAAGGAGTGATTCCTCTAACAGGATATTAACTACACAAATTCTCCATTATTATATGTTTAGGCCTTATGGTTTTATGTCGATGGTCGGGGGCCAGGACGACACGCAGGAAAAATCCATTATCATTTGGAATACCTCGCTAAACAATCTGGCCAAAGAGTTATCAACAGAAAATCGGCACCGAAAGAGGAAACGTGTGAATCAAGCGAGCATCAGCCACTAGGTGAGATCGAACTGATAACTTTGGTAGGTTATATTAATTATATGTTATTGGTGTATTTTATAATTTGTTTTATTTACCAGATCGAGGAATTGAAATTTGTCGTTCCAACCGAGGACAATAAAACTCGGATTGCATATTTATGGGATTCAACATTTGACTACCGCTGCCAGTATCGTGCGAATAAAGATGTTTTTTCGTTTTTGGAAGAATTTCCTGTTGCCTCGGCGTTTGATGGCGAGCTGGTATTCAATGTTTAATGCTCTGTACAAACTCTCTAAATGAATTTTCAACCATATTTTTCTTATCCAGATTGATTACGACTTCAAGAAAATGAAGAAAAACACGGTGGACTTCACCGATAACTGGAAGCATTGGCAGGAAAAAGTTTTGCAAGGACATCGCCACCTATTCAGAGAAATAAGTAATGGTTCGTATAACATTCATTCATTAATAATTCATCAACTAGATTTGCATGTGTTGTGGTTTGTTTAGATTTTGTACGTGCATTGGCAATAATCCGTGCCAAAAATCCAACACGAGGCTCAAAGCGCTTGCGTGATGAGGAGTCAGCGAAGGAGAATCCGCTTAAAGGAATTATCGATTGGGTTAGCGTAAGTTGTTCAATTTTATAAAAAGAGAAATGTCAATTAAAAAGAACAATATGTTAAAATTATAATATTTATATGTTACATAATATTTTGTTGGTAGAAGCCACATCAATGCCATACTAGCTTATAAGTTACTAAAACAATCTTATAAGAATTTACTGTTTTTAACATTTTTAATTATGGTACACAGGTACACGACGCAATTCTCATCCACCCCATCACTCCTACTTTGATTGTGCGCGGTGACTTGTTGGACAGGGGCGAACAGTGTTACATCGCATGGAAGGGTATGAATATACCTATCGGATGCAACATTATTTCTGCGTTTGGAAAGCTGTGTCAAAGTTTCGACGTGTTTGCCGTAGATTGCGTGCCTAGCGACAAGCAGTTCTTTCTTTTCTTCAAGGCGGCTGTTTTCGCTGTCAGTAAAATCGGAACTACTGGGGAAAAATTTGTGCGTTCTCTAGGGTAGAAATCAGTTGGTCCAGTAGAATTAATCAGTATCGCAGCAAATTTCCTACAAGTTTTTTTTTATAGAAAAAATCGCAATTATTTAGAGATAAAGGAGTATGGTCGATTACCTTTTTGTGAAATCAAAATGTAGAGTAAAAATCTAGCGTGTTAGTCAGAGAAATGATTTATTGTCACAGAAGAATACGATTGTAAACAAAAATACGTTTGAATAAATAGAAACAATGGTTAAGTTTTATTATATTTCTTTTCATTGAATACCAAAATTACAAATAATAGAGAGAAAAACATAAAAAATACCGAGAAACCGCAAAAAAAAAACTACCGAATTGCAGTAAACATTTTTGCCGAAAAGCAGTAAAATATTTTACCAAAGAAATCGGCAAATTATGACAGCTGGGACAAATTTTGTTCTGCCGATCTCACGGCATTCAAATGGTTTACCGAGATGTTTGCCGAGAGCTCGGCTGTTGGATTCTCGGCAGTTTTTTTTGCCGGTTTCGGCAAAAAAATCTAAGTGTGTAGGGACCGGAAATAGATGTCTGAGGTCAATTTAAAATTCAAGATGGTGGCTTCCGGTTGGAGAAAAACTTGAAAATTCTGTCAAATATCCCTCAATATGGGTATTTTTGGAATTGGAGTGACGCGTAGGGACCGGAAACCCATGTATGACATCATTTTGAATTCAATATGGCGGCTTCCGGCTAGAGAAAAAACTGGGAAATACTGCCAAATTACCCACAATATTAGTATTTTTGGAGTCAGGGTGACGTGTGGGGACCGAAAAACCGTGTCTGACGTCTCTCTGAAATTCAATATGGCGGCTTCCGGTAAAAGAAAAACTAGGAAATACTGTAAAATACACCACAATATGGGTATTTTTGGAATCTAGGTGACGTGTAGAGCCCGGAAAGCAATGTCTGACGCCTTTTTGAAATCCAATTTGGTGGCTTCCGAATACAGAAAAATAGAAAAATACGGATGGGTTTTCCGTCCTTACACGTCACTCCGATTCCAAAAATACCCATATTTACCCCTCAATTGGACAGAATTCCCAAGTTTTTCTCGAACAGAAACCACCATATTGAATTCAAAATGTCTCTACACATCACCACAAGCAAAAATATCCATATTGAGGGGTATTTGATAGTATTTTTTAAATTTTTCTGTAACTTCAAAAAAGGCGTGAGACATCGATTTCCGGTCCCAACACGTCACCAAGATTCATGAAATACTCATAAGGCGGTGTATTTGACAGAATATCCCAGTTTTTATTTAACCGGAAGCCGCCATCTTGGATATCAAAATGGCCGTTTCCAAAAATATCCATAGTAAGGGGTATTCGACAGAATTTCCCAGTTTTCTCCAACGGGAAGCCGCCATATTGAATTTCAAAACGGCCTCAGACATCGATGTCCGGTCTCTACACGTTACCAAGATTCCAAAAATACGCATATTGTGGCTAATTTGGCAGTATATCCCAGTTTTTCTCCAACCAGAAGTCACCATATTGAATTTAAAAATGGCGTCAGACAAGGTTTTTGGTCCCTACACGTCACCACGATTCCAAAAATACCCATAATGTGGATAATTTTACAGTATTTCCCAGTTTTTGTCCAACTGGAAGCCGCCATATTGAATTCAAAATGGTGTCAGACACGGGTTTCAAGTCTCTACACGTTACCATGATTTCAAAAATACCGATATTGAGAGGAATATGACAGAATTTCCAAGTTTTTCTCTAACCGGAAGCCGCCCTATTGAATTTTAAAATGGCCTCAGACATCGATGTCCGGTCCTTACACGTCACCCCGACTCTAACCAATAATCTACCAATATTGTGAGGTATTCGACAAAATTTTCAAGTTTTTCTTCTAGCCGCAAGCCGCCATCTTGAATTTCAAAACGGCCTCGTATATTGATTTCCGGTTCCTACACGTCATCAAGACTCCAAAAATATCCATATTATGGGTAATTTGGCAGTACTTGCCAGCTTTTATCCAACTGGAAGCTGGCATATTGAATTTAAAATTGTGTCAGACATCTATTTCCGGTCCCTACACGTCACCAAGATTCCAAAATTACCCATATTGTGGGTAATTTGGCAGTTTTTCCCTAACCGGAAGTCGCCATATTGAATTTGAAAAAGGCCTCAGCCATCGATTTACGGTCCTTACACGTCACCCCGACTCCAAAAATACCAATATTGTGGGATATTTTACAAAAATCCCAAGTTTTTCTCCGACCGGAAGCCATATAGAATTTGAAAAAGGCGTCAGACATAGGTTTCCGGTCCCTATACGTCATCAAGATTCCAAAAATACTCACATTGAGATGTTTTTCACAGAATTCTCAAGGTTTTTCTCCACCCGGAAGCTTGAAAAAGGCGTCAGACATGGTTTTCCGGTCCCTACACGTCACCAAGATTTTAAAAAAATACCCAATATTGGTAGTATTTCCCTAACCGGAAGCCGCCATCTTAAATTTCAAAACGGCCCCAGACATCGATGTCCGGTCCGTGCACGTCACCCCGATACCAAAAATACCCATATTATGAGGTATTTGATAATATTTTCAAAAAACTTTTTTATGAAATAAATCCCAATTAATGGGTTTTTGTTACGTCTGGTTCGATTTACGAACCGCCGCGCCGGTTTGGCTCGTAAATGAAGGTTCCAGCGTATTAATAATTAAAAAAAAAAACACGATCGGAAAAAAAATCTTCGCTCGCAATCGAAAACAACAAACAGCAAAAACTGAAAGGGTCTAGCACAGACCGAACATTTTCAATTAATTTTAATGATATTTTTATGCATGATTTCAAACATGTGAACGTGGATTATGTTTAAGAAAAAATTAAAATATTTTAATCTACCTTGTTTGACATGGAATACGACTCGAAACGCATGTTTATGTAAAAAATAAAAACCTGCGATTAAACTGATAAATGAACCTACAAAAACTGTGTAGGCCCTTTTCGAAAAACAAAGCAAACTGACATTTCGGCGAATGAACACCGAGTCACTTTGCAACTCACCTAAGAATGAACCTCTCACCTCACCCGAGTCGACTGTCGGAATAGAGTGAGAAGAGTCATGTGACTGCGAGGTGACAATTGACGAGTGCACGGATGGATTTGAGTTCACTCACTCGACAAAAAGTGACACAACAGCGGGGCCCTGTTTACTAAAAAAATTCACTCGACAAAAAGTGACACAACAGCGGGGCCCCGCTGTTGTGTCACTTTTTGTCGAGTGAGTGAACTCAAATCCATCCGTGCACTCGTCAATTGTCGTCTCACCTCATTGACGAGTGCACGGATAGATTTTAGTTCACTCACTCGACAAAAAGTGACACAACAACGGGGCCCTGTTTACGAAAAATGAACACATGAATAATGCTCACGTATTATTTGAAAAGGTCCTATCAACTATTGCAAACAACTTGCTAGGTTCTTTTCACGAGCACCGAAGTACGCCCACGCAAACCAAGAGCACTATCGGGAAGGGGACAATTTCCCCTACCCGATGATGTTGTTAGTTTGCGTAGGCGTATTCGGTTCGCACGAAAAGGGCTTAACAAGTTTTGTGTACAAAAGATGATAGGCCTGTTGCAAATGTTACGCGAGTATTATTCATGTGTTCATTTTTAGTAAACATGGCCCCGCTGTTGTGTCACTTTTTGTCGAGTGAGTGAACTCAAATCCATCCGTGCACTCGTCAATACGCCACGCAGAATAACCCTGGGAGTAGAACAGCTGATCACTAAAATCCACAACTCTGGGGAACACGGGGTGACATCCATCTGGTCGGATGCATCAACGTTGGCAAGAACGCCCTGTTCAACGGCCTTGTCCGGTCCGATCTGTGCAAAGTCAAAGCAACTGATCTGATCCAACGAGCCACGGCTTGCCCTTGGCTCGAAACGAGTTCAGTCCGAACCGAAGAGGAAAAACTACGCAAGTACCAAGCACCGGATCACCCGAATTTGCCACTCTCACATTGGTCAAACCTTCGCCTGCGATGCACGGTAAGTTCTGATTATTTATGGCTAGATTGATAGTGTTTTATTTTTCGTGGAATAAAAAAAAACAATGTTATAAAATTGTATCCTACTATTTTTATTTTCCTTTAAAATTGCAACCGTAATCAAGCAAACAAATAAAAAAAAAATGAAAAACAGCCAGGATTAACCAAAAAAAATACCGATAAACGGTAAACAATTTTTCCGAAGGATTGGCAAAATTTGACAGTTGTGGTAAAATAATTGTGCTTTGCCAATCTAACGGTAATTGAATGTTTTACCACAGAGAACAGACGTTCAAGCTCGGTCAGAAACATGTGTAAAATAAGTGGGAACGTCGCCGTTCCGTGGTGTTAGCATCTCCTGATTTTCTCTATAAATTTTCTACTTTCGACCAATTTGGCGCTAGTATCGATAAATTTTCTGTTGAAAATTGCCACTTGGCGCTACTAGCACTTAGTCTCTAGTGTAATTTGTGCAACGCCATCATGTTGTCAAAGAGGGTTTTTAAGTGGGGAAGTCGCCGTTAGTGGCGCTTAAGTCGAATAGGAATCTTTACACAAGTTTTTAGAGAAATTTTGTTCGAGCCTCATGAATCCGATCGACGTTGTTAATTTGTCAACTTGTCACTCCCAACACAGTTTACTCATTTTTGGGTAGGTTTAGTTTTGTCCGATCTGGGTGTATTCTACCCAAATTTGGAAGTTTTCAAATAGCGTGTTAATATTTCGTACACGGTAACCGCAAAATACCCAATAATGACTGCAAAGTAAGCATTTTCGAAGGAGACTGGGACTACCCATTAAATGAGTAAAAATATTACCTATTTATGAGTATTTTTTATTCAAAAATGAATACTTACTACTTGTTTTTGTAGTTGTAATTACTCATAAATGGATAAAATTTTACTCATTTAATGCTTAGTCCCAGTTTCCCTCCAAAATGCTTACTTTGTAGTCATTATTGGGTATTTTGTGGTTACCGTGTATGAAAATCTAACTGGAAAAGTCAAAGATGCACTTCAGTCTGATTGGAATGACGTTTGTCTACGCGGCTAATGAGAACAACCCAAAATTTGAATTTAGCTTACTCATAAATCACAACGTGCAGGAACTCCAGCGATGAGTAAATTTGCCTCATGTTTTTCCCTAAGAGAAGAGGACGGTGGCGAAAACGAACCACTTGTCTATCAAACGTGAACCAGCTCGTGATTGGCCGATTTGAAGTGCGTAAGATAGATATAGAGATAGACATAGAGACTAAAAAGAGTAAGAAGCCAATTAATCATGTTTTGTTGTTTTTGACATCATCCACATCCAGAGGGCCATTCACTTTCAAATGTATGGGAATGGTAGAAAACCATTTGGAAATGCATGAAAATTTTCAGTTTTTATTCATTATCGTCTTTATAGGCAGTTTTAGATGCTCAAAAATTGCACGAGTACATTACTATGGTGATAAGGTAAACACTCGTTTATTTGTTTCTTTCTGTGAAAACATGTTTAGTCACAAATCGTGGATTTTCTGATATTCTCCATACTGCAAAAATGATTTTCCTACCACTGAAGGGGCGACATCTCTCGGATCTTCAGTTCAAATCATATAATTAATTGTCTCCTCTTCCTCTTAGGTTTTTCCAGGAAGAAATTCCCGAACACGAGAAGATTTTATTCACTTATGGCGGTAAGCTCCAACTCGGATTAACTTTTAATACCGTCCCTGTTTGTATGATCTGAAAAATGTTTGCTCAGAATTATGTTGATTAACTCTGATGTCGACATCAAACCAGCCGGACATTCTTGATCGGGATTTAATCCGAGGATAATACCGGTTGGAGCTTACCACCATTAGTCTATTGAAAAATCAAAGTGAAGATTAACTCACAGATGGCGAGTCAATGAAATTTATATAAGGTCTGGGCCAACAGGCAGCTTGCTGGTGTTAGAAGCAAAAATGTTGTAAACACTGCTGAACATCTCCGAACAGATAGAAATACGTCACTGCCAACATACTGAGAACAGATAGAAATACGTCACTGACAACAGCTGTTTTGTGTAAAAAGATAAACATTGCAATAAAATACGAACACCACTAAACATTTGCACATTTCACGAACACCAAAATAAGCCCTTTGACCCAGACCTTATATAAACGTCATTGATGGCGAGTGGGTGAAAATGGTAATGACTAAAGAGCCTGAATTTATAAAGAGACGACATGTCAAAATTGGAACAATCGATTATCTGTCAAAGTCATAAGAAAAGTCATTCCAATCGAGCAGAAGACCTGTCAAATGGATAAGATGTCGCCTCTTTATAAATTCAGGCTCTTTAGTAATGACGTGTTGATATCTGTCAAACACGTGAATTTTTTTTACAACACGGTTAGAAAAAAGTACCCAAAATTAAGTTCTTTCCACTCATCTCGGCACTATGGTGCAGGAACCCAAAAGTAGGTAAAGCGGGTCAAAGTAATTTTCATTTACTTGTGTGCAATTCGTATGGAATTTTGCACTGGCTTTTTAACCAAAAGTAAGTTAGTTGTACCGAACAGTGGATAAATATGATTACTCAACGTTGGGTTCCCACACTTTATTACCCCTGTTGGGTGGTTTTGCTCCTCCATTTTTGACAACATTAGAAGGAGAAAAGGAGACAAACTAGTCAAAAGTAGATAAAAGTGATGAGTGTTATTGAAGTTGAAGTAATTGAGATGGGTTAACTTTTACTCATAAAAGGATATTTGATTCTTACCGTGCAAGCGGAGGGGTTGTTTTCGTTTTGTTTATTTTTATTTACGAATGAAAGTTCTTACAGCAAACAAAAAATTTCTCACAGCTAACAAAAAATTTCATCTCACTAACCACAAGCAAATCGCATCAATACGAACCCGCCTGGAGAGGACAGATTTTTGAGGTTAGTTACAGAAAAACATGAGGCAAATTTACTCATCGCTGCGTTCCTGCACTTTTGGCGATTTTTTGTAAACTAAACCCAAATTTGGGTTGTTCACATTCGCCGTTTACACAATTGGATGGATATTCTGTACTCAAATTTGAGTAAAAGTATGTTTACCTATTTTTGGGTAACTTCCTTTTTGGCTGAACTGAGTGATTTTCGACTCAAAAATGAGTAGCCTCAAAATAGCGTGTATAGGTTATATGAAAATCAGAAACTTGCACGGCGAATGAGAACAACCCAAATTTGAGTTTAGTTCACTCATAATCGCCAAAAGTGCAGGAACTCAGCCATGAGTAAAATTTGTCTCATGGTTTCCTGTGGAAAACCTAAAAAATCGGCCGGAAAATGAGGAAATTAATCATGTTTTGTTATTTTTGACATCATCCACATCCAGAGGGCCAGTCACTTCGAATGTATGGGAATGGTAGGAAACCATTTGGAAATGTATGAGAATTTTCAGTTTTTATTCATTATCGTCTTTATGGGCAGTTTTAGATGCACAAAAATTGCACGAGTACATTACTATGGTGATAAGGTAAACACTCGTTTATTTGTTTCCTTCTGTGAAAGCATGTTTAGCAAAAAAACGTGGATTTTCTGATATTCTCCATACTGCAAAAATGATTTTCCTACCACTGAAGGGGCGACATCTCTCGGATCTTCAGTATAGCTACTACTCAAATCATATAATTAATTGAAGAAAATTTTATTCAGCCTCGGAGTAGTACCAATAGACTGAGTGAATCCAATCTTTACTTTTCTCAAATTCGGGAATTTTTCCCTGGAAAATCCTGGGAAAACATGAGGCAAATTTACTCATCGCTGAGTTCCTGCGCTTTTGGCGATTATGAGTGAACTAAACTCAAATTTGGGTCGTTCTCATTCGCCGCGTGTATAAAGTTATGTGGAAACGTTGCCGTTACGTTGCGCTAGCATCTCCTGATTTCCTCTATAAATTTATCACTTTCGACCAATTGGGCGCTAGTATCGATAAATTATCTGTTGAAAATTGCCACTTGGCGCTACAAACAACTTAGTGTCTAGTGTAAGTTTTGCAACGCCAGCGCCACCGTGTTGTCAAAGAGGGTTTTTTAAGTGGGGAAGTCGTAGTTAGTGGTGCTTAAGTCGAATAGGAATCTTTACACAAGTTTTAAGAGAAATTTTGTTCGAACCTCAACGTCTGCACATTTTCTTGAATTTACTATGTAGCCGGTCAGCTTAATCATCATCATGCAGTGGCTGCGTAGATTTTTTACGGCAATTTCCCAATAAGTCTTGATTTTTTATCACTCCTGATTTTCAAAAAAAAAAATCACAACCTGCATCGTAGAAGTTACTCTCTCTGATTGAGATTCTTCTGACGTGATCGACCGTGTGTGAACTAATGAAATATTTCATCAAATATTTACTATCGAAAGCTGTCAGTTGGTTTAACCACATGTGGCGGCTTTCGTCGAAGACCCCTACATCACAAATCATTATGATACTCATCACCATGTGCACCAGTTCATCCGCATACAAGAACGGTTCACTTTTCGGTTTTCCGCATAGTTCGAAGTGTTTCTTTCTTTATCCTTAGAAACAAATTTTTGAGGAACTTCACGTGGGAATCATCTGCGTGGGGTAAATTATTAAATTGCAACAATTTCTAAATTAATTAGATTATGAAAATTTGTTTTAATGGGTCCCACACACGGATAGTTGCAATTTTATCATCAAACAGTGTTGCAAGGTCATGTTCAGAAAATCTGGACCAATTAAAATATAAAATCTGGAAAAATCTAGAAACCTTAACAAAATCCAGTTTTTAACATGATGCTATTGAAATCAAAGTGATGTGCCAATCTTCCGTAAAAATCGGTCAGTATGATTACAGACAAACAGACATAACACATAGAATATTTCTCACTGTAGAACATCGTCGCTAAAACATTACCGTCATCTGTTGAGTACAATGTGGTGGGCACTACACTGAATAGATGGCGGTAGTGTGTAAACGTCAAACGCAAGGGAATTGACTATGCGCGCCACAGGTGGCGGTACTACCAACTACGATACTTTTAAATTGTCCGTTAAAGGCTTGTTCTATGAACAACTTGCGAGAGTTATGTCTGTTTGCCTGTGGTACAACCCTTATGCTATACCATTTATATAATTCAAGTAACCTAAGAAGATCAATAATTGGACGTTAAATGAGAGAGCTTTAAACAAAACACATTTGCATGTATTTTGGGGGTGTATTTAAGCTTATGATCGGGAGTGTAGGTTACCCGAGCAAAGTAAAATACCAACCTGATATCATCTTGAAAACAAGTCTTGTTATTCCAGATATCATTTTGTTTTCAGTTGTAATCGCATAACTAATTTAGTTATCAACATCGACTAATTGTGTTATCAGTTTGTTGTTATCATGAAAGAATATGAAATGATGGAAGGTTACTTTAAAACTTCAAATATTATTCGCATGGTAAGAAAAAAACACACTGCCAAGCATGTCTCAGTTATCTGCGTAAGGCTTTAATACCAAATCGATAAAATAATTTAAAATTTGTTGAAAATATTTGCATGGATCACAGGATGTGTTATCAGGATGTTTTCGGTGATAACTAAATCAGTTATTTTTGTGATATCCACAGAGTAATTTTTTGTTATAATTTTTGTTATGTTGGCTGCTTATTCAACCACATTTTCAATTATCAAATCTGATCAAGATCTCAAGCTGAATATACGAGAAAGGCACGTATATACTAGCGCCGCATATTGCGAAAATTCTGAACTATTGTCACTCAACAAAAAGATCTTGACTTCCTGAAAAACTTTGCCCAATACATTTACTTTCTATCTGGAAAGGATCTAGAGATATTTTATATGCGAGAATTTCACATGTATAGTAGCGCCGGGAAGTGCCCACCTGCGAAAAGGCCTTGACCTCCTGAACAACTATGCCGAAGACAGTACCTTTCTATCTGGTCGGGAACTCGAGATATATCACATACAAGAATTTCACATGTATACTAGCGCTACGTAGTGAGAAAATTCTGAACTACTATCCACCAGCGACAAGGCTATGATCGACTGAACAACTTTGTCCAAGACAGTAACAGTCTATATGGTCAGGATCTCGATATATTCCATGTTGTAATCAATTAAGTCAAATCCCACGTAGTATGGTCACAGTTTACGCGGTTTCTATTTACATTTTCCCTATTATCCGCATTTTTTGGGTGTTTACTGTAATCAAAGTTTAGCTTGTTTAGATCAAAACAAGTTTTTTTTTAGGAATACTCGTTGATTTCAGATCGATTGATAACCCAGCAACAAAATGGCAATGGAAAACTCATGTGTGTTGTACAAAGTAGAACAGCGCGAGTAACGGAGGGTTAATATAATTTGATGAAAATATGTATTTCATTAGAGCCTAATTGTTCAGTGCATAGGCTGTGCCTTCCGCTAAGAAGGCTTATCTAGGGACCAACCCCCTAGTCTATACACCTACTGTCCTTCCCGTTGCACTCGTCAGCTCGTGCGATACTCTAGACACACATGGGTGGTCGTATCCGGGTCCTCCCCTGGGTAGGCTCGTGTCCGTCCAGGTTCTGGTACATTAACTTATCTATATGCATGGTAATTATACTTTTAAAACTCACCTTTTGATTATAATGTCGAAAATGCTGAAACTAAATAAAGGTTAGCGATCCATATAAGGTGTGTGCTGCGACGGAGTAGTAATTGAAGGAAATGAGGTTCTGATGTGATGTATAGGTAATTCTAAAATAGGTAAATCAATTAATCATTAGCTGCTAACAGTTACTAATAAATGGGTACGATAAATCACTCATCAATGAGTATTGCCACTCCCACTGAAAAATGGGCAAAACCTTTATCATAAATGGATATTCGATTCCTACCGTGTATTTAAAGTAAAGTAAGGATCTTATCAAGCAAGCACACACCTTTTACGATTCTTATCCTACTTACGGTTTCCTGCACATACGACTTTTCCTAGATACAAGCTTCGTCCAGTATACATTGGCTGTCTCCAACCGGCATGATCCTTTCTGTCTGCTTCCTCTTGCCGGTGCAAGTTTAATTCTTCTTTTCTTGTTCGAATTTTCTTTTTCTTCTATTGATCTTCTGGTCGTGTTCCCATTTGTCCTCAGGCAGTTAATATTAGTACATGATAGGAAGAAAGAAAGAAATAGAACAAGTTAAGTGTGGGTCGCATGCATTGGTTACTTATTTGGGTCATGGTGTTGTCTTCCCTATTTATTTGCCTCTATTCGCTCTCATATCGCAACGTTGAACTCTGGATCAACAATAGAAAAGGGCCCGTCAGCATCCGTAAACAAACCGTTCCAAAGCCCCCCACTCACAAAGCGAAGGCCACCCACGCAAACCAACACCATCATCGGATAGGGGAAACTTCCACCTACACGAAGATGGTGTTGGCCTGCGTGAGCAGCCTCCGATCCGTGAGGAACGGGCCTTCGACGGTCTGCCCACAAACGTCGATGGGCCCCCTTCACTGTTGATCCAGAACTCACCCCCTTCCCTCACACTATTATGGTCGGAAAAGGGAACCCATATTTAGGAATCTATCGCGAACTGCGATGCAGAAGATATTAATAGCAAACTAATCTGGAACTGGTCTAAGACATATGACCCAGTGAGTATTGACACCTCACACTGTTGTGAATGAGCACGGACGCAAGATTTACTAGAGTATTAAATGCAAAACGCAAATTCAAAATAAAACTTGACAAGTCATCGTCAATCCCCTTATTCTTGGGCAGGGTCTGACGATGTGAATCTGATTTTGATCAGTGAACGGACCCCATATGGTACATTTTCTCACTATGAACATGTCATTTCCAGCCTATCTGAACTATTTAATAAATGGAAACCATAACATGGGTTACGCTTCCCCTAAGCGGGCCCACCGCATCCTATCTCTGTCTTATCTCAAATGCCAATGGTTTGAATGTATCAATATATACATTGGAAATGACGTTCAATCAAATAAACCCATACCGCACTCACTTAACCAGGCTTCAGAATCGTCCAGTGGGCAGTGCGCTCTACACTCCAAGTTCCCTTTCTTTCAAATTCACCCCAAATTTGATATTTTACCCCTTTGAGTGTTGATTAATCACTCACAATGAAACATTGTGACAGAGCACGGACTTGAGGTTACTAGAGTATTAAATAATCTAGGTCCTATTTAGGATTATATCTGAAAAATCCAAATTTGGCCAACGCCCACCATTAGAGTGTTAGCTGTCTTCTTATATAAAAATAACAATCTGTTTACAATTGTCAGTTTTGTACTTTTGAAAGGTTGGCTGATGATTTTTTCGCACCCGCAAAAGTTTTCAACAATTTCACGTACCTATGTTAAAAGATGCTGTGTTCGAGAACAAACAATTTATACTACTGGTTTGTCCTCGAACACAGCATCTTTGAACACACGTGAAATTGTCGAAAACTTTTCTGGGCGCAAAAAAAAAACATCAGACGCGGAATTTGGTGAGATCTATCTGATTATAAATGATGATTATTCAGTCAGCCAAACGTATCCTGTGGCTTCATCTTCCCCACTAACAAGCCCTCGTTCAAACTCCTGTAACACTTATTGACCTCCATAAGGGATTTGCGATTGTTTATAAATGGGCACACCCAATGACGTTTCTAAACGACCAACAAAAAAGGTCATGTTAAAAGTTCAAGGTATCCACGGACTCTCGCTCAATAAAAAAAAAAAAACAACTATCGATCGAAATTTACCTGAAACAAGCACCCGGTGGGCGATTCCGACCGGTCCGACATATTCGAGCTGTAATTATCCTACGGGAAGGTGCTCAAACACACACACAAACACAGTCATAAAAGGAACGGCCAAAGCGAGGACGGTGGTGTTTTTTGTTCGTGACATCCAGGATGCGGTGACGCAATTTAAGCATGTACATTCCACGGTTGCACGGATGCATGGATGCGCGCGGGAGGATCGAACGGGTTTAAAGAAAGAAACAAGCACACCAAAGATACTACCATTAGAAAAACGGGATGGGGTGGTGCACTTGGTTTTTTTTTTTATATAGCTTTTGAACCGACTACATCATACTTGGTTCAACCAATTCCGCGCTAACGCTACCTTAAGAATTCTACCACTCGCTAAGACCGAGCAACCGGCCTCCAGTACTTACCGCTCGTATGTGAATCACAGCGATGTCATCAAAGTACGGACTGAGCGACATGCGGTAGATCTCCGACGCCGGTATCCGGTACTTGATTTGCATGGTTTTCTGATCCAACAGCAGCATCGAGTTGGTCGAAATCACCAACAGGATTGGGATGAACTGGAATCAGTGAATTAATGGAATCAATCCGCGCGAATTGCTTAGAGAGTGCAAACAAACCTTCCCGCTCGATCGGGCAATCTTGTTGATGATGTCGGCAAATACCACGTACTGATCGTTGTGCTCGCAGCTGACCCGTTTCCATTGGATGTTCTGCCGCAACCGGATGTAGTCCCCGTGGAAGGGATGGGCGACCGTACGGGGGTAGGAGATCTTCCGGTCCTTGAAGATAATACTGGCAGTGACCTTTTCGCGCATTCGGTTCCGAGCCGGCTGATCGAATGACTTTCGATACTTGTAGCACCGCCAGCGGTGGAAAATGTTCCGCAGCAGTTGAGACGTCTCGGCCAGGACCGACGGTGCCGTTGGCCAATCGTTGCAGATGGGGCTCATGTTGTCGTGCGGTAACCGCAGCAGCAGGGTGAGCAGGAATTCACGGGTCTAAAACAACGGTAGGATCAGATTGAAGCTACGAATATAGGACTCACATGTGTGCAACGCTCACTTTGATGAGGATGAAGAACCGACCGATCACCTGGACCGCCCAATGAGCTTGCTTTTTGAATTCAGTTACCCGCACCTTCTCTCGTTCCTGGAAAGATATCAAAACACAATTCAGTACAATTCATATCGTCATCCGTACAGGCATTATTGATACCCACCCTCCAACTTCTCCAGTAGGTCGATATGACCAGCTGACTGTGGCGGAGTGCGACGAAGTGTTTCCGCTTGGTATAGCAACGATAGGTCTTCTGAATCAGTACGGCAAGCTTGTTTAGCCGCACTTTCCGGAACTCGTCCAGCTCATATACGGTTCGGGGACTTCTGATGAACACCTTTTTGCGGCCGATGGTAAACTCGGCTCCGGGCAGGGGAACACTGCGGATAATCAGGGCCACCCCGTCGATGATCGTTCCGTTGAAGTGAGGCCACGTGTATTGGCAGAGAAGTTTGTAGCGCTGCACGAAACGCGAGTGCACCATATTGAAGTAGTGTCCATTGCGCCACAGGTTGATCAACGGCATTAAGCTACGGATCGATTGGGGTCAAATAGAGCTAGCAAAGTTTAGATAGTATAACACTTACCACATGTACCGAACTTGGCGCTGGACCAGCCCCAATTCCAGCATCTTCGGTTGCTTCAATTCGTTCGGTTTGATACAGAAGATATAGTGATTGTAGCGTTGTTCTAGTTGCTTCAACAGCGTCTGTAGCGAAGTTCGAAGATTTGTACTCAGACTGGTCGGTTTGCGGCCGGAATTGTGCCGTTTCGGATTACCCTCCGGGAAGAGGCTGGTCACGATCGGTAGCTCGCAGTTTTGGTATAGACAGGCGCTTATGTGCTTCGGTAGCAGGTCCAGATTCTTCTCGATGAAGCCATGGCTGGTATACAGCACTGGTCCCTCAAAGTGGCGAATTCTGAAAAGATCCGAATTTAACTCAGCATTCCTCGTTCAGGAAAATTTCAACGGGGCACTCACTGAAAACAGTTGGAAGGCAAACTGGGATCACGGGCTAGGAAGTTCGTGTGGCCGGAGCAACACTGGTGCAACCGAGTGAGCAAAATTCCATCGTTGATTATCTGCGGTTCGTCCAGCAGGTGCAGAATCCCGAAGCAGGGCTTGTCGATCAACTCGCAGATCGCTTGATTGTCGAAAAAGTCAATCTTAATCCAATCGATCCCCTCCGCCACGTACAGATCCTGCTGGTACTTGAGGACGTTCTTCACATAGTGCTGCAATTATTCACCAGAGCAAAGAAACCCATTCACACAACTAGACTAAGGTAGACCAAATAAATACTACACGGACCTGCTGCAACCGTTCGTTGCAGTAGTTGATGGCAAACTGTTCGAAGGAGTTCTTCTCCAGCACTTCGAACCCGTAGAAATCCAACAGACCGATGGTGCGCCCTCGAACCGCACTCAGCGAACCGTACTGCTTTAGCTTCAACAGTTCGTTAATCCTTGCGGCAACCAGCGTAAAAAGGCGCCCGTACAATGTCCGGCACAGGGCAAACTTGATCTTGGCAGCGTACGTGGCATCAATCTCCGATCCGTCAGTTTCGATCTGGTCCCAACTCTCACCGACCCGCGTCAAACAGTGGAACAGCAGGTGCCCGTCAAGTTGAAGCAGCTGGGCGATTTCGTCCAGTTCTGAAAGGTGCAAATTGGAAATCGGATTAAGCTGTTGCAATATTCCAGTCAGACTTCACACAGCCGTACCATACTCATTGGAGATCTCACAGCCCTCGCTTCCGTCGATGTTGGTCGTGGGGATGAACATAAGATTGCCCAGCTTCAGCACCACCGCCAGGATGGTGAAGATGGAGAAGATTTCGTCCTGATTGAAGCCGATCACCTCCAGCGAGCGCTGTGGAATAGAAGTGTAAGAACCTTATTGAGATTGACTTCCCGAAAGAAATCTGTGGAACGATTTCGAAGTACTTCAATTGCAAGCCCAAGGGACTTCAGTGGCAGTGACCTTTGATAAACTTTGAGCGCAGGTCAAGTGAGTTTTCCAGATGTTTTACTCGACGCGCTTTGGGGACAAGACCAGTGGAAAGGTGGCAGGTCCCAAGAATTCCAATTTATGCTGAACTAATCTTAATGCTCTAGATCGGTTTGGGGAACTGCAGGAACGTTTCAGGGGAACTTTGAGAGCTAGCGCGCGTACGGGGGTTGGAAAGACGGGTCCAGAAGACTTGGTGTGCAGATTTTGGAGGAGGATCTGATGTATTTTGAGACGATCTTCGAGAACAGGTCTAATGAGTATCGAGAATGCAAAGGGACATCATCAAGAACAAGTTAAGGTATTTTGTATTTTTGTTCCAAATTCCGGAAGGCTTCGGATGCAAGTCCAACGAATTTCTAAGACAAAGACAAGCAAGTCCAGGAGATTTCTAAGGCTGTAAACCATTTGCCGAGTTAAATTTAGGCTGAGTTTCACTGCCGCATGGTTTCCTGTGGAAAACCTAAAAAATCTGCAGGAAAATGAGGAAATTGACGAGAATTTTATTCAGTCTCGGAGTAGTACAAATAGACTGAGTGAATCCAATCTTTACTTTTCTCAAATTCGGGAATTTATCCCTGGACAATCCTGGAAAAACCTGGAAAAACATGAGACAAATTTTACTCATCGCTGAGTTCCTGCACATTTGACGATTATAAGTGAACTAAACTCAAATTTGGGTCGTTCTCATTCGCCGTGCAGAGGAATTTTCGAACATCTTAATTAATTTTCGAAATGTCAAATTTAAATGAAAATTTACCAAATGGAACACAGCCTTAGCTCGTGGTTGAAAGTGACATTTCAAAAGTTATTTCTTATGTTCGAAAATCGCTGTGTTACCGATCGATCGGTTTTCGAGCCGAACTCAGTCACGGTTGTCAAAATTTACCTTCTTAACTACTTTTTCGAACGGAGACGAACCAGCATTCGGCTGAAAGTCTCCTTAATAGAGATGACTAACTAACTAACTAACTTATTTTTCTTTCCTTTATTTAACGTCGCAATCTATCACCGACGGACATCGATTGCCACCCATTGACGGCAATCGAATGTGCAGGAAGGCAGCTTCCACACCTGCGTAGGATATCGCACCTAAAGAGCCTGAATTTATAAAGATACGACATCTTATCCATTTGACAGGTCTTCTGCTCGATCGGAATGACTTTTCTTATGACTTTGACAGATAATCGATTGTTCCAATTTTGACATGTCGTCTCTTTATAAATTCAGGCTCTTTAATCGCACACATTCATCAACACACGTGTGCCGGGATCAACGGTTTCACTTCCCTTCCAAAGGAAGACGTGACCAGAGATTTTTGTGAGTCAGAAAAATCCCACCGACCTCGGCTGGGATTGAACCCAGACCCATTGGGGTGAGAAAGCAGTAGCGCTTACCACTACACCACCGGCACCGGCCAATTTAACTTCTTGTATGCCAGAAATAACCATGCTCGGATAGCAGGGTTAATCCAACCGGTCAGCACTCGTGTTTAGTTCAGTTACCGTGGGAACGTAATTTGTGATTAGTCCCGGTCCCTTTCAAATTGTATCATTATTTATGTATGGTCGTTATATTTGAATGACGTTTCACATTCATCTAGTAATGGCCGATTTTCAATCAATTAATCGATTAATCGATTAACAAACCGAAAAGTACAAGGGACGAGTGCTCGGCGCCTAATACATAGGTGCCACAGTCGGAAGAAGTGTTAGTTTGTTTACTAAAATGAACCACACAGCAAAAAAAAATGTAATATCGATCAACGTAATTCAAGCTGATGTATGAAATAATGATGTAATAGCAAAAAGCAGATACAATATTACATCAATGGATGTAATTTTGTTCGCAAAATCGATGTACATCGTACAATGTGATATTACACAACCGATGGATTGACCAGGTTGCAGCAGTTTCGATGTAATATTCAACAACTTTTTTTGCTGTGCATGCCCATTTTGTTATGGCATGTTTGCTAAAAGAAATGCGCCTCGTGTTTATTAGCGAATTTCACATCAAAGATTGATTAATTGAGTAGGAAATCAGTTTGGCACGGCATTTGTGACCAGCATACACCTTCCGGTAGTATGAAACAGGTCAAAAACTGTTCAAATCCGCAGATAAAAATATTTGTTTTGAATTTCTGTATAGCAAAATAGTGAACTTTTCGTGAACATTAACGGCAAAGAACTCACCAACACTGGGAGATCGTGAGTTCCTGCCCACCTGTCATAAAACCGTCTTGGGACGAGTGTACCGATGGATTTGAGTTCACTCACTCGAGAAAAAGTGACACAAGCTGCGGGCAATGTTTACTAATCATGAACACTAAATGCTCATGAATAATGAATAATGAACATTTAGTGTTCATGATTAGTAAACATTGCCCGCAGCTTGTGTCACTTTTTCTCGAGTGAGTGAACTCAAATTCATCTGTGCACTCGTCCATTGACGAATTTCCATGTGAAATACCAAATGATTGTCATGTGACCACACATAAACAGAATCCACCTACACTGAACCAAAACATCCGCAATACTTCGAATGATTATTGCATTGCTCGAACCCTTTAACAATATGCATTCGAATTTCGGATGATATTCTTATGGTTGAATTCGTCGTCAGATGATGAACATCCATATGACTGTCATCCAAATACACGATGATTTTCGTTTGAAAACTAACTATAAAACATACGGCACTCAAACATTTAAGAATAGTGTGACATGCAAGTGCTTTTAATTAGATTTTTAATTTGATTATGTACAATTCCATACTGAATAGCCATAATAAGCCATTCCATCCTGGATACAAAAAAATTTCGTGGTGGAGAAAACCTCCTCCACCACGAATTAGCCAAACATTGATTTTCATCCTTTACCTTTGTTCGTAACAGCTCTGATAGCGATGCATATGCTTCCATCTCGTTTGTCAGCTCAGATCAGCAAATGACGTTCGATAGAATTATTTACATCATCGTTTTGAATCATTTGCGTTATGGGGCTGATCCAATACCATATGCATTTCCATTTAGTATGACAGTCATTCTACAGAGAGCATTACGCATTTCAACTGAACGCCCTATCCCTTCTCATAACAAGTTTCATCCAGTATTCGAGAGGAAAATCATTTGATTTCAAAACAACCGTCATCCGGTTGCAGCTATCATTCGAAAAAGCGATTTCGGTATTTTGTTTTGAATGGTCTGAGGTTTCATTCGATCAGAGGATGATGTTTGTGTACAGTGTAGAAGCACAAATGAAATTTATGAGTCAAATGAATTGTATGTGTGGTTATTGGCAAATCAAAGTTGGCACTCGTGGAGAATAGAAGAACTATGAGAGTGATGATGGTTTCAAAATTTTACACGGTGAGGTATACGAATGCAATCTTAAAATGCTTTTATTTTGCAAATGGAGCATTTTATTTAAATCTGGTTAATGCTACGCTAGTAGAAAACTTAAGGACTACTTAATAGACATATAATATAGAAAAAATAATTTCTTTTCAGATTTTTATGTGTAGACATAGATTTCAGCTTTTCTACAACTGTAGCAGCAACCAGATTTAAATAAAATGCTCCATTTCCAAAATAAAAGCATTTTAAGATTGCACTCGTATACCTCACAGTGGAAAATTTTGAAACCATCATCACTCTCATAGTTCTTCTATTCTCCACAAGTGCCAACTTTGATTTGCCAATAGGCGAATCCAATAGAGACTAAGCGATTGATTCAGCCTCTGGCGGTAAATAGAGGAACCCTCAAAATAGTGATGAGGGTGGAAATTTTTACCGTGAAGCATAGGAAGGGGAACATATTTTCACCTTTCCTGATTAATTTATCCACCGCAGGTGCTTGAAATCATCATCCACGTGGAATATTTTGTTTTCTGTTTCTGGTTTGCAGTGATCCGGCTGGTGCTTCCATATATTTTTGAAGCGAAAAATTAAGATTTATTAAATTATCGCAGCGGTTATGACCTTCCGGATTTTTAATGTGTGGTTTTTTCAGCTATAAACCAGTTTAGATCTGTAGATAATCGAAAAATAAGACCACTCCTGATAGAAATTTGCAAGTTGTGCATTAAAATGTACATTATTTTGAGTTTTGAACATCGTCATTATGGTGTAAACAAATGGGTTGGATGACATTTTCTCTCAAAATCGGCTAGCGCACTCTACATTGATGGTGCACGAAAAGAGCCTATTGACGAGTGCACGGATGGATTTGAGTTCACTCACTCGACAAAAAGTGACACAACAGCGGGGCCCTGTTTACTAAAAATGAACACATATATGTTCATTTTTAGTAAATAGGGCCCGCTGTTGTGTCACTTTTTGTCGAGTGAGTGAACTCAAATCCATCCGTGCACTCGTCAATTGCGGATTTCACACCTGATTAGACTCCTGCGCTAAAAATAAGTACACACCCTAATAAAAATTGTATGGTTAATTTGCTTAACGACGTGTTCTGGGTATCATCCAAACCATTTGTGGAATAGTTCAATGATTTGAGTTATCGTTCGTTTATGGTTATATTTTATTAGGGCAGTAATATCATAGAGGTAACTCTAAGACCACTGGGTCCCGAAGAAAATCATTATTATTTTTGGCTCACTCAGTACCAGAACAACGGTCCCAAGCAGTCCCAAGCTATTTCACTCACCCCTGCATGTTCTGCATGAATGCACACACCCCTGATGTTATCTGTCAAACTTTCATAGCGAATCAAAACAAACATAGTGTAGTAATAGAATTTCAACTAGAATAGGCTACGTTAATCGTTTGCTTGGGACCAATAGGCTACTAAAGTGGTGAGCCAATTTAAAATCGTTAGTTTCGTATTGATTGTTGGTAATATTTTCGCACTGGTCATAAAAGTTAAATATGGAGCTTCTTAATGCTTTTTAAAGCTTTAATTCAGCAGTGTAGCTTGCTAGTAATGTTCTAAAGCTGTTACTGCTTTCAAATAAGTCGATTTTTAAATTTTCTGGCCTGTGCGAAAATATTACTGTGCAATTATTTTTTGCACAGGAGTCTAATTTGGTGCAAAATGCGCAATACACATGGCTTCTATGTGTACACATATTAAGTATGTGTACGACACATAGACATCATCAAACGCCCAGCCCTCGGCGCCTAATACATAGGTGCCACAGTCGGAAGAAGTGTTAGTTTGTTTACTAAAATGAACCATGCCCATTTTGTTATGGTATGTTTGCTACAAAAAATGCGCCTCGTGTTTATTAGCGAATTTCACATCAAAGATTGATTAATTGAGTAGGTAATCAGTTTGGCACGGCATTTGTGACCAGCATACACCTTCCGGTAGTATGAAACAGGTAAAAACCTTTCAAATCCGCAGATAAAAATTTTTGTTTTGAATTTCTGTATAGCAAAATAGTGAACTTTTCGTGAACATTAACGGCAAAGAACTCACCAACACTGGGAGACCGTGAGTTCCTGCCCGAGGCGCATTTCTTATAGCAAACATGCCATAACAAAATGGGCATGGTTCATTTTAGTAAACAAACTAACACTTCTTCCGACTGTGGCACCCACCCCGGGAGCAACTTAACAGCTCCAGTGTAATGCTAATGTACCCCGAAAATTCTGGTACTCTGGTTCTGTCAAATCGAATAATGGTGGAGTAAATTTACAATTGGTCTTATTTTTTTATCAACTTTTTTTTTCCCGTTTTTAAGTTTTTTGTTTTTTTAACTTTTTATAAAAACATTGATATTTTTTCTAATAGTCTTCCAATCGACTCAGCATGACGGGATCGGAAAATGTCTGTCTGTTTATGTGTGTGAGAGAGCGCGTAAGACAATTTTCTTATATGTATTTCTCGGCAACCACTCTACCGAATTGAACGCAACAACAACCAAATGAAAGCTACCATGATTCTATAGAATGTTAATTAATAGACTTTCAATCGATTAACTGGTTCCGGATATATGGACGGAACAAGACCCTAAAATCCGGGAACTAAGTGATGTTTGTCGGCAACCACATAACCGAAATAAACGAAACCCTTTAATCGGGTTACTGCCCAGTGCCCACATAGGAAATAACCATAAAAAGTGCTTAAAAACCTGTGCAGGTTCCGAACTATGTGTCATATGGTTAAACCATTTGGGTTATGGTTCGTGTATGGAACATTTTTATTAGGGTGGTGCTTTCGGGGTAATTTTTAAAACGAATATCAGAATTTACAGAAATAAGAAGTGCCAGATCACACCACTGGTGGATTAATAAAGTAATACGTCTCACTCAAAATTTATTCTTGGTTTGCTTTCGACGTCCACATGAAGTGAAACAAAAACATGTTTTCTGATGTGAAAAAAGTTGTGCCACCAACGATGGCTGACCCCATTGTTTACGTACGGTGGAGACATCTACAATTTGCAAGTGGGTACGTGAAACTAAGGTTTTCTGTCTAGATGCTCGGGGGGTGGTGGCACCTATGTATTAGGCGCCGAGACCGCGACGAACGTCAGCGACAACGGTGAATTCGGTGTCGCCGATGAAGTCAAAAATGCCAGCTGTAAATCACCTGAAGGATTCCAAGGCGGAATTCTTTACCCACGATATTCGCGGTGAGAAGCCCTGCAAGGTGGTCATCCGAGGTCTACCGAGCTACGACCCAAAGTTCATCTCGGATCAAATCAAGGACCACTACAAGCTGGTCCCAACTGTCATCTACCGGATTACGCAAAGGGACGAGAACACGAAAAAGTGCCCGGATTGCCTTTTCCTGGTACACTTCCAGAAATAAACAGTGACGATCAATGCGTTAAAGCGGCCATCCGCTCCATCAACTCCATCATTGTGGGATGGGAGCCATACCGTGGCGGCCGTCACCACCTCTGAGTGTGTCGTCGATGAGGCCTAAGCGATAAAATGTGGTGGCGATCATCATGGGTCCGACAAAAAGTGCCCCAAACGCGAGGATTTCAAGCGGATCCGAAAGCAGGCGTCCACAAGAAACCAACCAGGGCGGAAGAAGGAAAACACTCCGGCATTCAGGATGCCGGACTTCCCACCTCTTCGTGCTACGCAACACGGTCAAGCAAATCCATGGCTGCAATCCAGCCCCCGTCAAGGAACGTCTGGTGCCTCAGCTGGACAAAGCTCTCCATCCCCCCTGGGTTCTGGAGACAACCACCGGCACAAAACGCCATTCCCGATCTCTTCTCTGCGGATGAGCTGATGAAGATTTTCGTCGACATGACCAGTGCTCGTCGCCAGTGCCGCAACAAGCCCGAACAGATCCAAGTGCTCGGTAAGTTTATCATTCAGTATGGCGTCATTTCGAACACTTGACTTCCTCCGCAAACACAATATCGACGTGGGCCTCCTAACAGAGACCCATCTCAAATCCGGTGACAGCTTTTGGTTGCCTGATCACAACATTATTCGACTTGATCGCACCGACTCCAGGGGGGTGGTGTTGCGGTCATCATCAAGAAGGGGATCAAGTTTCACACTCTGCCCCACATCCGCACTTCTATCATCGAGGCCCTTAGTGTGGAGGTGGAATCGCCAACCGGAAACGTTCGATTCTTAGCCGTGTATTGTCCTCGCCAGTGTGTTGCCAGCAACGGATAAGGGAGGAAATTCAAGAACGAACTCACCGCTATCACTCGCACGAGCTCCCGATTCATTGTTGGGGGCGATCTGAATGCTCACTACGAAGCATGGCGCAACTACCAACGGAACCAGAACGGTAGTCTACTATTCGACCACTCGCAGCATGGGCTGTATACAGTGGACCATTCTGGAAGGTAGCCAAGGTCTTGAAGACTCAGGCTGCTCAATGTGTACAAAACTTGGATGCCTCCCCTTGTGTCGTCCCTCCGGCAGAAAATATTACAGTGGAGCAGATTTGCTCAGCGCTGAAAAACACCAAGAACATGAAGGCTCCCGGGTTTGACGGTGTATTCAACTTGGTATTGCAGAAGCTGAGCACGAAAGTGTACTCGCTTTTGAAAGCTATCTTCAACATATGCTTGGAACTGCACTACATTCCAAGTATCTGGAAGGTAGCAAAAATCATACCAATCCGCAAACCCATCACTACCTTCCAGCTATACTACCCATAATCGCATATCAGTCCCATCTTTGCTTGATTTCCTATCCATATGGGACTGATATGCGATTATGGGCAGTATAGACCAATCAGCCTCCATTCAGCGGTGAGAAAATTGTTCGAGAAATCAATTCTCAACCGTTTACTTAAGTTTGTCGAGGAACACAACATTCTCCTACCTGAACAGTTTGGGTTTAGGAAGGGGCATTCCACAAATCACCAGCTAGTTTGGGTGATAAATAACATTCGAAGTAACAAAGCTGTATCCAAGTCCACAGCCATGGCATTGTTAGACGTTGAAAATGCGTTTGACAATGTCTGGCACAACGGACTTGTGTACAAGGTTTGTAACTTCAACTTTCCACCACATCTTGTGAAAATCACCCGAAACTACCTCCAGCAAAGGTCGTTCAAGGTATCGTTGAATGGTTGTAATTCTCTAGGGTGAACAAACTGGCTGTCTACAAACAAATCATTGCGCCTGCGATCTTCTACGCAGCTCCGGTGTGGGGATCATGTGCACAAATTCACAGGAACAAAATACAGGTAGCGCAGAACAGGGTATTGAGGATGACCCTTGATCGTCCTTTCGATACCCGTATTCCGACCTCCATCAAGAGTCTAACATTCCGAAAGTAAATATTCAAATTAACGAAACTAGGAACAAATTTGTGCAGAAATGCATTACTTCCGAACATGCTTTGGTAAGCAGCTTGTACATAGTAGATTAGGTTGTAGTAGTTGTAGGATAGTTGTAGTTGTAAATAGTAGTTATAAGTAGTCTCCTTTTTCCAATTGGAACAAACCAACCCCACCAAGGTGGGAATTCTCTAAACAGGCCTGATAGGACTAGAAATTTAAATAATAATTAAAAATTCCAAATGAACTAAAGTTGAAAATATGCATCTGTGTCACTTGAAAATTCATGCATGTAAACAACACAAATTCAAGAAATAAAGATCATCTAATGCAAAAAAAAAAAAAAATAGTCAAAAGTTATATTCCCGGACTGGTCACGAATGTAGGTGGCTATCGTACAGGAAAAAAAAGGTCTTAAATAGGTACCTTGGTAAAAGTAAAATTAGTCCGGTCTTCCTCGTTGGTGATGCTGTATTTGAGCAGATCGTACCGATCGATATTGCGCTGTAGTTTGAGTGATTCTGAAAATATGAAATCGTTTGATTTTTTTTTATATTTTTGGAGTCAACAGATTTGACCCGAAAAACTTACTGAGCAAATGGATATCAGCACCACTGAGCAGCTGGTAGAAGATGTGAAAGTTTCTTTCGCCCGGACTCCGGTTCGTCACGCGTGTCTGCATGAATATAAATGATCAACAATTAGTCCAAAATTGATGTAAACCAAGTTTCATTAGTTAGAGTTTTTGTACCTTTTCCAGCATATCTTTCGGATTTGCATGGAACAGAATGATAAGCATCAATTAGCATTTCTTCTATCCACACTCTTCCAATGCTATTATACTTACATAACGTTAAGTGTCCTCCCGTCGGATCACCCTTGTAATCGAACTCGATATCGAAAAATTTTCCCTATAAACGAATCCACAATAAGTTTCCCGCTGGATCATACCACAACCCACAATACTCACAAACCGACTGGAGTTGCCGTTCTTGAGCGTGCTCGCATTGCCCATCGCCTCCAGGAACACCTCGGCATGCGCTACCCGTTCCCGCATCTTGGCCAATTCCAGATCGCGCAAGTACACCTCCTTGGTGATGGACTTCAGGATCTGCCGCCGATGAACCGATGGTGACATCATACTGCTAGCTATGCTATGATCGTACGTCAGCGCAATCGACGAGGACGACTTGTGGATGGACCGGGTGCTACTCTGGTGGCAGCATCGGCTCAAATTGCAACGCTTCTGCAGCGACGGAGAGTAGCCACACATGCGATGCAGATCCATGTGACTGCTACCGGCACTGCCACTGCTGGTGCAGTTGTGCTTCGGACAGGATACAGCAAATGCCGACTTGAGCGTCGACTTTGTCGGGAAATCGTTCGCTTCCGTTGACCGGCTGATGGATTGGTTCGAGTGCTTTAGACATTTGGGGGTGCTACCCATCACCCCGGCACCTCCGCCACCGCCAACGCCTCCCATCATGGCCGCCAGGTTCTCCGAACTCTTGTGGTGCGAAATCAAATCGAATTCCACCGTCTTCTCGTGGGAACATTTCTGCTGATGGGGACGATAGAAAATTTATTTCAACGTTCGTACGGCTAGCCATATTAAAATCTCAACTCACCCTGGTGGTGTTGTACTTCATGATGCTGTCCAGTCGGCCGGTGCCCCCGGAGGTGCTGCTTTCGAACGACGAACCCACGCGGGTGATGGTACAGTGCTTCGGTGTCGTTTGGCGCGAGTTGGGATTTGATCCGCGAAGCGAGAAGATCGGTGTTCTACTGCGGCGCATTTCCGACAGCTGCGTCAGGAAGTGGACAATCATGCGGGAGGATTCAGTTTTGCCGGCACCGCTTTCGCCCGACAGCACGATGCACTGATCCTCGTTGTAGTTGAGCAGAAACTGATGGGCCGAGTTGGCCAGGGCAAAGCTGGAAGTGGAAATGGGGGGAGAAACTTGGGTTAGAACACCGGAAACCTGCTTAGGGATGGTCCATTAATTATGTCACGCAAATTTGGCCCATTTTCAACCCCCCCTCCCCCCTTTGTTACATTTTTTGTATGAACCTTATTTTTGTTTGTATGGCTCGTCACAGTTTTCAAAACCCCCCTCCCCCTAAATGTGTGACATAATTAATGGACGACCCCTTATAGCTTAATCCTGTGGCCGAACAGCTTTAACGTATAGTCGCTTTATTCATAGTCTGGCGGATAGGATTTCGAGAACCAATTGAGCTGTCAAAGAGCGGAACCAATCGAGCAAATCACGACCAACAACAGAAAAGAGCACATCAGCCGTTTTCTCGTGATTCAAGGCTCGCCTACGTAAACTAACACTATCTTTGGGTTGGGGAAAGATTCCTCTATCCGATGATGCCGGTAATTTGCGTTCGATTGTCGAGGAAAGAATAATCGACGTTTTGTTTATACAAATTGATAGGACGCTTTTCAATTGTTGGTCTACAATATATTGAATTGGTTCCGCTTTTTGATAGATCGTAATTCTATCCGCCAGACTATGAATATAGCGACTATACTTTTACGAGGTAAGTCCAATTATGGATAATATTCTGATAGCTTCCCAAGTAAAAATTTAAAACCGTATTTATAAGGCATATTGCAAAAAGGGCTCTCATCAGGCTATTAATGGGCTTGGTGGACATTTGGGTACTTCACCCACGACTACTTAAGATAATGCCTTAAGTAACGAAACACGTCCAAGATGATTAGTACACTGATGCAAAATTTGAAATTTCCGCTCCACAGTGCTCAAACAGTTCCAAATTGGGCCCTGATTAGCCTCCCAAAATTTGAACTCATTTAGTGAGAAACTGACTTGGCACAAACCATTTGAAGTTTATATGGGAATAACTATGAAGAAACCATAATTTCGGTTCATATCTATCTCAAAATTCACCAGTTCACTCTACTTTAGAAAATGATAACTGAGCTTATTGAAATTTTTTCCAGCTACAACTTTGTTGAAGACCACTTTTCGATCAAATGTAAGGAACAACAATTATTAATGATTCAAGTCACTGATGTCTTATGATTATGCTCAATCAACTGTGCAGCAGGCAACATTGGTGTATATGGCGCGTAGAATAGAGGACAAAAATCATGGCTACTATGTCACACTGCAGAATACAGTGTTGCCCACAATACAGTTGCCTAATCTTACCATAAGATTATCAATCTCTTAAACAATTCAGGCATAACATTTGATAACGGCACAAAAGCATTTGTAAACAAACTTTCTAAGGCCCTTAGCACGCGAACCAAAGTACGCTCAGGCAAACCAATACCACTTTCGGAATGGTCATAGTTGCTCGTATCCGATGATGTTTTTGGTTTGCGTGGGCGTACTTTGTTTCGCGTGTAAAGGGCCTTAGAAAGTTTGTTCACAAATGCTTTTGTGCCGTTATCAAATGTTATGCCTGAATTAATAACTATTTAATTTGACGTTTGGCTGCAAAGTTGTAGCTGATAACAATTCCCATAATAATAGCAATAGAATTTTTTAACAGTACAATATGTAAAAAAGCTAGAAGACAATGAACAAAAAGTTTTGTTTTCCCATAGTAATTTCCATATAAACTTCAAATGGTTTGTGCCAAGTCAGTTTCTAACAAAATGAGCTTAAATTTTGGGAAGGTAATCAGGACCCGATTTGGAACCGATTGAGTACTGTGGAGCGAAAATTTCAAATTTTGCATCAGTCTAATGATTAGCCTATAGCCACAGACAAACAGACATAACACATTGAATATTTCTCACTGTAAAACATCGTCGCTAAAACATTACCGCCTCTTGTTGAGTACAGTGTGGTGGGCAGTACACTGAACAGATGGCGGTAGTGTGTAAACGTCAAACGCAAGGGAATTGACTATGCGCGCCACAGGTGGCAGTACTACCAGCTACCATACTTTTAAATATACCGTTAAATGGTTGTTCGACGAACAACTTGCGAGTGTTATGTTTGTTTGTCTGTGCTATAGCCTATAAGCATAATCGTTCTGGAGTTCAGAACATAAGATCCATTTGTTCAACTATGACTGAGACAATGTAATTAGCAGTGAAATATGTCTAAGCATGGTTATAAACTATATGCACTAGGGTAGTTCAAAATATCGATTTTGTTCCACCAGGCTCAATGAATTTTAAATCAGGTATCGATCATTCTCCCAGAATTTTAATTTTTTTTTTTAAGCGAACTCATACTGCACTGGCCCTTTAAAGTTTATTTGAGAATTGCTATGGGAAAACTGAAATTTTGTACTCAACGTCCTAGCACTCTACCATAATGATTTACGGAAATGCTTGCTATCTGCTGTTGTCATATTTTACAAGCTACACCTGTTCAAGATCACTTTTTTAAAAAGACTTCAAAGTAATTAGTTATTATTTGATTTCGATGTCGATAATTTTCTGATATGATTAATCAATTGCTTTCAGAGCAACACTGCATCCTGCATCTTGCACTTATGACATAGTAGCACCGGCGAACCGACATGCCACAGGCCTGCTTGGCATGCACAGTTGTACCATAGAGGTAACTCTAAGACTAGTAGGTCCCGAAGAAAATCATTATTATTTTTGGCTCACTCAGTACCAGAACAACGGTCCCAAGCAGTCCCAAGCTATTTCACTCACCCCTGCATGTTCTGCATGAATCCACACACCCCTGATGTTATCTGTCAAACTTTCATAGCTAATCAAAACAAACATAGTGTAGTAATAGAATTTCAACTAGAATAGGGTACGTTAATCGTTTGCTAGGGACCAATAGGCTACTAAAGTGGTGAGCCAATTTAAAATCGTTAGTTTCGTATTGATTGTTGGTTGTACCATAGAGGTAACTCTAAGACCACTGGGTCCCGAAGAAAATCATTATTATTTTTGGCTCACTCAGTACCAGAACAACGGTCCCAAGCAGTCCCAAGCTATTTCACTCACCCCTGCATGTTCTGCATGAATCCACACACCCCTGATGTTATCTGTCAAACTTTCATAGCGAATCAAAACAAACATAGTGTAGTAATAGAATTTCAACTAGAATAGGGTACGTTAATCGTTTGCTTGGGACCAATAGGCTACTAAAGTGGTGAGCCAATTTAAAATCGTTAGTTTCGTATTGATTGTTGGTTGTACACACCAACTGCTCATTTGTTAATAACTTTTCACTCAGTTGTTGACATTTATTTTTCTTTAAAGTAATTCCGGAGAACTTTGAGATTTGGGCGTGATTGCTTTTGTAAACAAACACATCCATCGTCCATTTCTCGTGGATTGAAACGCAATTTCGCGAATAAACTATACTAAATACAACCAGAGGACCAACCGCTTTCGGATGCATATGGAGCTGGTAGTAAACGATTTGAGATTGTATGGGGATTTACAGTATTAATTGAATATTTCCAATATAAGCATGTATGTTAAATACAAGAAAAGTGCCCGAGCACATTAAAATGGTACAAATACAAGTACTCGTAAACATTTTACTTGCATTGAAAATGTATTTCGTAAGAAATTGCGGATTTTCTGATATTCTCCATACTGCAAAAATGATTTTACCAGCACTGGCGGGGCGACATCTCTCGACTTTTCGGTGTAACTACCACACAAATGATGTAATTAATTGTATTTATCTATATTAAAAATATCAAATAGTAATGAACTCGTGCACTTTTTTGCATTTAAAACTGCTTATCAGGAAGATAATGAATAGAAACTAAAATCTCCATACATTTTCAAACGGCTTCATATCACTCTTATAAATAAGTACGGACGATATCACAAATGGCGCAATTATATCCCGTATGGTTAGTACGATAGCCCGAATAGGTGGTTAAGCACTTTTTATGGTTATTTTGTATGCACTGTATTTGTAAAACAACAAAACATGATTAATTAAGAAAAAAATCGTCAATACAGAAAATACAGATTTTTTAATAGAGTGGATACAGATTTTTTATAAAACCACCTGGCAGCTCTGCGAGTAGATTAAAATTTGCCTTCTAATTTATACTAAGTTCATATAACGGTTTGGAATTCGTTCAGTGTATAATTGGAAAGCTGTAAATCGCGTTAGTTTTAATTATGAAATTCATGGAAATGGCATTTTAATTGTAGGAACTCCGTTCCTGTAGGAATCAGCTACGAAAGAGGATAAAATCCAACTGTCTGGTGGACTGCTGAAGCTTAAGAATGAATCCGAAACGGAATTGTGACCGATCAACGGTGAGCTGACTGCATGGGACAGTTTTACGGAGTCCCTTGTGAGGCCTCAGTTTACCGGTGCAAGGCAGCATGATTCGCACGAGCTGGTCAGACATTTACTGGAGAGCATGAGGATCAAAGAATTAAGGTAGTGAGCTACGTCGCTCTATAGTGATGATGAATCTAATTCTTTCTTTTGTCCACAGATATCAACTGATGATCCTGCTTTCGTTCGGCTACAGCAGAACCGTCGAAAACTATATGAAGAAGAAAGTTAAATTTTACGGCGTGCAAGCAGCTGATCGGATCTTCTATCCGGAGCCGGTGTTCCGGGGCTTTCTTGTGTCAAGCCTCACCTGCCAGGATTCTTACCACGTGTCCTCGTGGTACGTCCAGAACCGGATTACGGCTTTGGTGCTCCTTCTATGTGGAACCTGCAAACCAATGAGCCATAAGAAGCGCCGACGTGTCACGAAAGTCAATCGTGTCACTGCCAAGAAGGACAATAACCTGCTCAATGCCACGATTATGGGTGCCATAGGGTGTCAGAAATGGGAACGGATTCCGGTGCCAGTGGTGAGTCCGAGGCAGATGACGATGAAATGTCGATGCAGATGTGGAAGACAAGCTAACGGACTCGGGCACCATGCACGGAGCTAATTCGAGCCAAATCTTTCTAATTGAAATAAAATAATCACCAGTATCCCTATTTTTAGTTATTATTTACACAAGGAAAAAAATTAATGACAGCAGCATCAAAGCCCAAACACGAATTAATAACAATTATACATAGATAGAATACGTGCACTTTATTCACTGCTATGTATAAAGCAATTTTATACTAAGTTCGTATTCTCATCCTTTAAACCCAGCAATGCGTCGGGCAGGAGAGTTGCGATTTAGCGTACATTTTAATCTATTTAGATTTGAAAATCTTTTGAGTGTACTGAACAACATTGTAACTTTATTTTCCCTTTATTAACTGTGTGATCGAGCACTCAGCGGCTCGATATGTTCATTAATATTCTGGATTGTGAACACCAATAAAACAAGCATTTTTTTAACGAGTACATCCCATCTACTACAGATATAATGTGACGTAAGGCGAACCTCGACAAGCTTTTTTACCATGCTAGCAGTTGCCACTCCGCCGTCATATCAGAAAATACCTTGACTAACATCATGTTTACGTTTGCCACATGCAATGTTTCAGCATAATGTGGGTGTCTGACATTAATCGAGGTCAAGAACATGAGGGGTACTAGGCATTATGTTTTGTTGGAAATCCTCTGAAAAAGTTTTCAGGAATACAGTATTTCAATGGTTATACCATAGAGGTAACTCTAAGACTACTGGGTCCCGAAGAAAATCATTATTATTTTTGGCTCACTCAGTACCAGAACAACGGTCCCAAGCAGTCCCAAGCTATTTCACTCACCCCTGCATGTTCTGCATGAATCCACACACCCCTGATGTTATCTGTCAAACTTTCATAGCGAATCAAAACAAACATAGTGTAGTAATAGAATTTCAACTAGAATAGGGTACGTTAATCGTTTGCTTGGGACCAATAGGCTACTAAAGTGGTGAGCCAATTTAAAATCGTTAGTTTCGTATTGATTGTTGGTTATACTTCTTAAGAAATATACGCAAAATTAGGAATTCGGCAATACAAAATCTTCCCCAATAACCCACATAATTCGATGTGAAAAGTTAATGTTCACTTTATGCAACAGCTTTTGATCATGTTGATCATCCATATTCAGTGTCATTACATGTTGCTGAATATGAACCATTCGTCAGTGTTATACCATAGAGGTAACTCTAAGACTAGAAGGTCTCGAAATAACGTGCTCAACTTTTTGGCTCAGCTCTGGTACTCTCTTCGGTCCCAAGCTAATCGATTCACCCCTCGAAACATAGGAAAAACCAATAACCCCTCATTTTATCTGTCAAACTTTCATAGCGAATCAAAACAAACATAGTGTAGTAATAGAATTTCAACTAGAATAGGGTTCGTTAATCGTTTGCTTGGGACCAATAGGCTACTAAAGTGGTGAGCCAATTTAAAATCGTTAGTTTCGTATTGATTGTTGGTTATACC